TGGGGCCTGAACTCTGGGCCTGGGCGCTGTCTCTCAGCTCTTCAGCTCAAGGCTAGCGCTCTACCACTTGAGCCACAGCACCACTTCCGGCTTTTTTCTGTTTGCTTATGTGGTGCTGAGGAATCCAACCCAGGGTCTTGAGCATGCAAGGCAAGCGCTCTACCACTGAGCCACCTTCCCAGCCCCTCTCTCTCTCTTTTTTGCTGGTCCTGGGGCTTGAACTCTAGGCCCTGGGCGCTGTCCCTGGGTTCCTTTTACTCAAGGCTAGCACTTACCACTTGAGTCACAGTGCCACTTTTGGCTTGTGTTTCTGTGTGTGTGTGTGTGTGTGTGTGTGTGATTAATTGGAGAGTCTCACAGGCTTTCCTGCCCAGACTGGCTTTGAACTGCAATCCTCAGATCCCAGCCTCCTGAGTAGATAGGATGACAGGTGTGAGCCACCAGTGCCCGGCCAAAGTAGGCTTAAATTCATCATCCTATGTTTGCAGCCCTGGTAGTTGGGATTACAGGAATGTACTACAGTGCCCAACTAATTGTTGTAGTTTATTATTAATCCCTCCCTCACGGGTACCCTCATGTTCCAAAGACCCAAGACCTAGACATAGAAGGCTAGAAAGAACAAATACTTTGTTGCCACTGTCTGGGTTCTCCAGTGGCATCCCAGGCCCAAGATTGGCCACAAGCAGCTGGCTGGCCTGCTGCAGAAGGAGGTTCAGGGCAATGGACCTATGGCCCAGGAGGAGGGAGGTAGAGGAGAAGACATCCTTAACAAAAGGCCCTTTAAGACCCTCAAAGGTCCATTGTCCCTTAAAGGACTGCCCAGGGCTTGATTTCTCAAACTTGAGTGACTCCATTTGCATCCCCAAATCTAAATCTCATGGTGCCCCAGCCAGAAGATCTCTGCCCACCACAGATAACACAAGTTTCCCATAACCATAGCACATAGTCCCATGAAGTTCTGGGCGTGCTCTAAGCATGCATGTAGTATGTCTGTCTTAAGGTATTCACACTGTCTGTAAGTCCATAAGTTGCTGTGTGTTTATGATACTAAGGTTTATAATCAAGCCAGGGGCTGGTGGCTTACGCCTATAATCCTAGCTACTCAGGAGGCTGAGACCTTCAGGATCACAGTTCAAAGCCAGCCCAGGTTTAAAATCAGAGCTTCGTAGCTGGGTACTGGTGGCTCACACCTGTAATCCTAGCTACTCAGATGGCTGAGATCTGAGGATCATGGTTTAAAGCCAGCCTGGGTAGGAAGGTCCATGAGACTCTTATCTCCAATTAACCACCAGAAAACCGGAAGTGAAGCTGTAGCACAAGTGGTAGAGTGCTAGCCTTGAACAAAAGAAGCTCAGGGATCCCTGAGTTCAAACACCAGGACTGGTATACACACGTATGCACACGTATACACACACGTTAACCATTAACCAGATACACAGGGAACCAATGAGAAGGAAGGAAAGTTGTAACTGTTGAGAATGCAAATGGAGCCATGCTTAAAGCTGGGGTTTAGCATGGACACACGCCTTAGCTCATTGCTTGTAATCCGGAAGTATAAAGTCACTTGGGGGCCGAGCAGCGGGGGACTCACAGCGCTCGCTCTGCATGTAGCGAGCCACCCCTTCCAGGGTGAGCTCATCCAGCAGACGCTCCTTCTTGGAGCCCAGGCCCAGGGTCTGGGAGAAGAGATTCCGCAGGAAGTCCACTGAGTGAAAACAACAGAGACACCTGTCAGGTGAGCCATGGGCCTGTGGGTGGCCCCAGGGCCCCTGCGCCAGTGCTGTGATCTGCTCCCCCCCCCCCGCCCCCAAAGGTGCAAATTCTGGTCCAGCCAGGAGGCCCCAGGATCCTGCTTTGGCATAAACACTCCTGATGGCATTGATGGCATATCCCCAGCCCCACCCCCACTCCCACCCCTGTCCCCCAAGAGGATACTCACTCTCTTCCTCTCCACCGGCTGCTCCTCCCTCAGTGTCTGAATCTGAGTCCTGGAAGGGTGGGGTAGGGTGGCCAAGCCCGAGAAGTGGGGTTAGGGGTGCAAGAAGAGGGGGGGCTGGAGTGACTCTGAGCCAGAGAGGCTGGCTCTGGCTGCAAGGGGCTTGAAGGGCAGTAGAGGGCAGCACTTGGGCCAGGATGAGGACTGGACCTGGCTATCTGGGTCCAACCAGGAGCCTACTGCTCCAGGCAGCCCTTAGCCTCAGTGTGCCTCATCTTAGAGAAATGGGCATAAGAGATGCTGGGGGGATGAGCCAGAGTTGGCAAATATGAGGGCCTGGGACCAGTGTCCAATGGCAGGGGAATGTTGGCTATGGTTCTTACAACCTGCCTAGTGTCCGTGTCCTCCCCCGTCTCCCTGTCCTGTGGAATGGGCCCTGTCACTGGAGTCACCCCATGAATGATGCCCCGTGCTCTCCTGCCTGGAGCCTCGCTGAATGGCAGCTCTCTGGGACTCTCAGCTTTCCAGCTCCATGTCCCCTGGGCCACCAGCCACATCTATTTGCCAGTGGCCTCGGCCTAGCTCCTGGATGCTCCCTCTCTGGCCCCAGACACAGGTCACTTCATCCTAGGTGACCTAGACCTCATTTCACTGTGGTCTCACTGTCTGAGTCTGACTCTGCCTTCCTTAGTCCCCAGCATAGCCCCTCAGTCCCCTGAGAGTATCTCCTCTCTGCTGTTCCTTCTCCCTCTGTTCCCCACCCCTACCCCATTCCCAGGGCTTCACCTCTTCTAGCCAGTTCTCTCCCTAGGGGTCCTGCCCTAGCCTGCTCCCCGGGCTCCTGGGTTCAGTTTCTACCTCTCATCACTTTACTGCCAAGGGAGATTAAAGGATTGAGGATCTAGGCCAGCTGGGATAAAAGTTATCCAGACTTTCTCTTAAAACAAGCCAGGCCTGGTGGTAGACATCCGTAATCCTTGCTACTCAGGAGGTGGAAGTAGAAAGCTCTTGGTCTGAGGTCAGTCTAGGCAAAGTTAGCAGCGGCCCTATCTGAAAAACAAACTAAAAGAAAAGGGCTGGGGGTGTGACTCAAGTAGTAGAATGCTCGGTAGGCCCTGTCTTTGTGTCCCTTCTCTTTGTGGTTTCTCTGGTGCTGTCCGTCAATCACAAACATCTCCACGAGGGCAGGGACTTCATCTGTGTTCACCATTGGATGCCCAACCTTGGGAACAGAGCCAATGTATGCCAGCCACACACTGGAAAGACCAGGGCTGGCCCCAATTCAATGTCCTAGTTAAAAGCACACAGAGACCAGGTGTTGGTGGCTAACGCCTGTAATCCTAGCTACTTAGGAGGTTGAGATCTGAGGATCACAATTCGAAGCCAACCCAGGCAGGAAAGTCTGTACGACTTTTTATCTCCAATAAACTAAAAAAGCCAGAAGTAGAGCTGTGGCTCAAGTGGCAGAATGCTAGTCTTGAGCAAATGAAGCTCAGGTTAGAGTGCCCAGACCCTCAGTTCAAGCTCAAGACTGGCACCAAAAGAAAAGAAAAAAAAAAGCCAGAGAAAGAATATAGCCTTAATATAAGGATAATAGAGAACTTGACATATACATTAAAGCTTTGACTTTTTTTTTTTTTTTTGGTCATGGGGCTTGAACTCAGGACCTGGGTGCTGTCCCTGAACTTTTGTGTTCAAGGTTAGGGCTCTACCAATTTGAGCCATAGCACCACTTCCTGAAGTTTTAATTTTAATATTACTCTCCAGCTAGACTTATTTACAAAGACAGGGAAAAAAATGGCCCCAAATTCTCTATGTCCAGCTTTTTCTGATGACAGAAATGTCCCATTGCAAGGAAAAATCCAGCTAAGCACTCTTAACAATTCAATACGGATCACTCGAGAACTTTCCTCTGCATAAAAACACATGTGATTAAAAAAAAACCCAGAAATGGGTAGTGCTTGCATTGTACCCTGTACAATATGCCACTTTTTTTTTTTTGTGGTACTGGAGATCAAATACAAGGCCTTGCACTTACTTGCTAGACAGATGCTCTAACCCCTGGAACTATGTCCCCCACCCCTTTGGACTGCAGTTTTTCAGTTAGGGTCTCATGCTTTTGCCTGGGCTGGTCTTGGACCCTATCTATTGCTTCCTGGCTATCTAACCCAGCTAGAGTTACAAGCTAGAGATGGGATCACAGATAACCATTTTGCCTGGGTTGGCCTCGAACTGCCTATCTCCGCCTCCTTCTCTGAAGCAGCTACATAGTATGGCATTGTACAAGAGCACAGTTCATTTAACCTATCTGCTGACAGCCATTTGGGCTGTTTCCAGTGTCCCTCTATTACAGACAATGCTACAATTTATCAGCTGCTTCTCTTAGGGACTGAGGGTCTCTCTCTCTTTTTTAAACCCAGGAAACCTTCTCTGCTAGCAGGGATGCTTTAGGAGGCAGACAGTGACAAGAGGCTGTGACATTCTTAGCATGGCTTTGCTGTGCATTGTGGGGAGTACTGCTACCCCAGCTTCCACACTGCCTCCACTTGAAGAGGGATGGGCAGGCTGGTATTCTCGTGGTTGCAGACAGTAAGGCATTGTAAGTGACTTGTAGGGAATCTGTCTAGCCCATGGCATAGAGCCAGCTTCAGGGAGAGCTGTGAGAGTCTGTCTATCTCTTCCTGCAGTATCTCTAGGACCCTGTGCCTTCAGCCCTGAGCTTTAAACCTTTCCTTAGTCCTCCATGCAAGGGACAGGGGACAAGTGACTGAAACAGCTCTGCCTCAAGTTTCTCATGTGTACAATGATCACAAGCCAGGCCAGGCACCAGTGGCTTATGCCTATGGTCCTAGCTACTCAGGAGGCTGAGATCTGAGGATCACAGTTTCAAGCAAGCCCAGGCAGGAAAGTCCATGAGACTCTTTTTTTTTTTTTTTGGGGTCCGGTCCTGGGGCCTGAACTCTGGGCCTGGGCGCTGTCCCTCAGCTCTTCAGCTCAAGGCTAGCACTCTACCACTTGAGCCACAGCGCCACTTCCGGCTTTTTTCTTTTTGCTTATGTGGTGCTGAGGAATCGAACCCAGGGCCTCGAGCATGCAAGGCAAGCGCTCTACCACTGAGCCACCTTCCCAGCCCCTCCATGAAACTCTTATCTCCAATTAACCACCAGAAAACCAGAAGTGGTGCTGTGGCTCAAGTGGTAGAGCACTAGCCTTGAGCTGAAGAGCTGAGGGACAGTGCCCAGGCCAAGTTCAAGCCCCACAATCGACCAAAAACCAAACCAAAACAAAACAAAATGACAACAGGCCTGACCCTTCACAGGGATGCATTAATGAGATGTCACACTCTTCCCCATGCTCCCCATGTCTCCAGCCCCCACTCTCAGACCTCCCTGCCTCTTCTATTTTTAACCACCACTCCTGTCCCCAGTACCAGCACTAGCAGAGTCTGTGGCTGGAGTAAAGAGCCAATAAACGCTAACTATACCTACACCATCTCCAGTTACCCTGCTAGTAAACACATACATTACATTCTTTCCTGCCACCAGGCCTTTGCATAAGCTGGACCCTCCATGTGCAACATCATGTCTTACCCTGTCTGCAAGCATTCCAGGTCAATTCACTGATTACACTATAACTATATCTTAGCCAGTAGGGTTCCTCCTATAAGAAGGGCCTGATCCATAAAGCTTGCTCCTGTAGAGCTCCAAGCTACTTTTATAATCATCTTGTCAGATTATTTGCTTGTCACCCACCCCTGAGATCTGTTAGTTCAGGAACCAGATTGGATCCCTGTCTCCTTCCAGTCCCAATCAAAAGAGGTTCAAAAGGGATTAGGGTTGGGGTAGGCAGCATCAAGTCTGTCTTTGACAGTCCCCCAAAGCCCTCAGGCCCAAGGAGGCTGCACCAGGTGGGGTTAAGGATTAGGGTAATGAGCTGAGGGCCCTAGGGGTAACTCTCCCCTCTGCCACCTCCCCTCCATGCAGTGTGAAATATGGGAGCAAGTCCAGCTCTGTCCTTCCCTCCACCCATTCCCCATCTCACCTGGGCCTCCTGCACCTTCCCTGCCTGGGTCTCCAGAGGGTCAGAGGCTGGGGAGGAGGGGAGCAGACTTGGTTATAGTGGGGGGAATGGTTAAGGGGTTCAAAGTGGTGGGGCAGTGGGCAAGAAGACCCATCAATCTAGTTATACTGGGGTGAAGGATGTTGGCAAAAATTAAGTAGGAGGGAGGGGAAGGGGGAAATGTAAGGTTGGAGTACAAAAAGGACTGGCTGGAGAGGCAGAGGAGATTGAGGAGGAGAGGGAGGAGAAAGTCGGGTTGTCAAAGCTGAAGGAAGACTTGGGAGTTGGGAAGGACTCAGTAGTGTAAGTGTGTGGCGGAAAGGTGAGGTTTGCAAGGCAGAGTGAAGTGTGTCGGAGGGGGGGGGGCGGTTCCTAGGGCTGAGAGGAGGTGTGAGAGGAGGTGCAGTGGGGGTGACAGCTTAAGACAGGTATTGGAATTAGAAGAGACATCACCGGGCCGGGGGCGGGAGGGACGGGGAGTGTAGTACCCCACTGATGCCCAGGACACCATGTATCCTTAGCAACTGGGACCACGCCAACTTAGGTCCTTAGTAACCAGGGACCTCAGCCACCAAGAAGCGATCGTACATTAGTCACTTAGCAAACGGACTTTGGTTTTGAAACCCACCAACCTAGTCATTGGGACCCTTTAGCGACAGCGCCCCGAATTCCACCCACTCCGCGCGGCCCCCACCCCCACCCCATCTCGCGTCCCACCGTATCTGCAGCCCCCACTACTCCGGACCCCGGGGCCTGCACCCCGCAGCTAGGCCCCGGCGCGGCCCGGTCCTCCCACCCAGACCCCCAACTCACGGTCCGGTTCGGCCATGGGCGCCCGGCACGGGGCCCTCGGGGCTGTCACCGACTGCTCGGTCCCGTGACGGCACCGGAAACCAGAGAGGCATGGGAGGGCGGGTGGGGTGGGGAGGAGAGGGGAGGAGGGAAGCAGGGAACTACAACTCCCAGTAATCTTCATGACTTCGCTTAGCTCAGGCATCTCACGAGAGGGACTACGAATCCCAGAAGGCCAGGCGGCCACAGCCATTTTGGTAAAGGGCATTCGGAAAATGTGGGAACAACTAGATTGCGCTAGTCCATCCAAATACTGTGATTGGTTCATGTGCAGCATGGGGGCGGGGAATAAGCAAGGCATGCAGCTCTGATTGGATAAACTAGGGGGGCGTGACTTTTTCTTCGGGAATTCCCAGCAGGGCGGAAGCTCCGGAGTTAAGGCAGAGCCCAGCCACTGACGGGCAGGTGGGGACCCCCACCGAGGTGGCAGTGGGGGGGGGCCATGGCTGGGGTCGCGTGCTTGGGAAAAGCTGCGGATACGGATGAATGGTGTGACAGCGGCCTGGGCTCTCTGGGTCCCGACGCAGCGGCTCCTGGAGGACCAGGGCTGGGTGCCGAGCTGGGCCCGGGGCTATCGTGGGCGCCCCTCGTCTTTGGCTACGTCACTGAGGATGGGGACACGTGAGTGATCCTTAGACTGATCCAGAGGATTCCTGGGATCCGACGGTTGATTTTCCCATCCTGGTCCCTTTGGCCTCCTGACCTTTTCATTCCTAAATCTGACTTCCCATCCTTAACCCATCTAAGTTCTAAATGGTAGGAAAACTAGACTCCTATCTTCTCCATCCCAAACCTGTGATTTCTGCCCTTTCTTTCCTTGAACTAGGATTTCCAGATCCTGGAATCTACATCCTCCAAAACTTCTTTGAATCTCCTGATCCCAGTCCCCAGATCTTTGTAAGAACTCTGCCCGCCCGCGCCGCCCCCGCCCCCTCCCGCCGCGCTCCTCCTACCTCCCCCCCTCCCCCAGCTCCATCCTCCGGACCATACAAATACCATCTTGGGTTCGACTGATTTATAAGTTCCAGGCTTTGATTTTCAGAATGAGAATTTTCAGTACTTGATCCAACACTGATCTTGACATCTTAAATTCAGAGAGAACTAAATTACCTGAGAGTGGAGATTCATTTGTTACTGCAATTCTTGTGTGGCACTGCCAGGTTCCAAGCCCTATTTTAGGTGCTAAGTGGTGAGGGATGGAAGGAAACAAATCTGGATCCTCAGATCTCAGTCTCCTGAGTACTTGGGATTACAGTCATGAAACACTGCCCTGGCTTGTGTCTTAAGGTAGAAGCTGAGGTCATTGATTGATGTAAGCATTTCCTTCGTTTCTGATATGTGTTTAAACTTCCCTTCTGAACACTGCTTCAGCAAAAATATGTCTTCTGATACGTTTTTATTTTCATTTAATTAAGTAGTATACTTTAGTATACTTTTTTTAAAAAAATTCAGATTTGACCAAGAAGTTATATAGAAATCTGTTACTTGATTGTCACATGTTTGGAAACTTTCTGTTGCTGATTTTTAATCTAATATCGTTGTGGGAAGAGAAGATAGTTTGTATGATTTTTTTTTTTTTTTGGTTTCTCCTGGGGCCTGAACTCTGGGACTGGGCACTGTCCCTGAACTCTTCAGCTCAAGGCTAGTACTCTACCACTTGAGCCACAGAGTCACTTCCAGCTTTTTCTGAGTATGTGGTGCTGAGAAGTCGAACCCAGGGCCTCATGCATGCAAGGCAAGTACTCTACCACTGAGCCACCTTCCCAGCCCAGTTAGTATGATTTGAATTCCTTAATTTTCTTTCTTCCTTTTTTCAGTATTTAGAATGGAACCTCGGGCCTCTCAATTGCTAGGCAAGCACTCTACTACTGAGCTACTTAGCCCCCAACTCCTTTAAATTATATAGAAGAGTAGACCTATGGCTCAAGTGGTAGAGCACCAGCCAGAGGAGCCAGAGGCACTGAGTTCAAGCCCCAGTCCCTCCCCCCTCACACACACACACACACGAAGTATAATTCTGTGTTTGTGCTTGTAGTTCTCAGGTTTTGCTTGTTGTGTAATTTGAAGGTCAATTATTAGAGCCACAGATATTTAACATTGTTACATTTTTGTTTTTGAAACAGAGTCTTGCTATGTACCCAGACTGGTCTTCAACTTGTCCTCCCACAGCCTCCAACTGCAGGATTTACAAGCGTATGCCACAATGCCTACCAAATTTGCCTTTGAGTTTGAAATTTGTTTGTGATACTGGGGTTTGAACTCAGTCTTATGCTTGCTAGACAGGTGGCTCTGCCACTTTTTTCCTTTAGTAAGAAAAGTTCTTGGGCTGGGAAGGTGGCTCAGTGGTAGAGCGCTTGCCTTGCATGCATGAGGCCCTGGGTTCGACTCCTCAGCACCACATAAGCAAAAAGAAAAAAGCCGGAAGTGGCGCTGTGGCTCAAGTGGTAGAGTGCTAGCCTTGAGCTGAAGAGCTGAGGTACATCGCCCAGGCCCAGAGTTCAGGCCCATGACCGACCAAAAGAAAAAAAATTTAAAAAAAAAAAAAAGTTTTTTTTTTTTTTGCCAGGCTGAGTCTAGACCAAGATTCTCCTATTTACACCTCCCATGTGGCTGGGATGACAGGTGTCCACCACCACACTGGATCTTCATGTGTGTTGACTTCTGTCCCGTCTCTACCCCTAGGGCATTGCACTTAGCCGTGATCCATCAGCACGAGCCCTTCCTGGATTTCCTCCTAGGCTTTGCTGCTGGTACTGAGTATCTAGACCTGCAGAATGATCTTGGCCAGGTGAGCCATCAGGAATTGTTGGTGTAAGGGCTCAGGGGTCCCAGGTTTTCAATGTGACCTTGAGCCCTGCCCTGCTTTCCTGCAGACCGCCCTGCATCTGGCAGCCATCCTGGGAGAGGCGTCCACCGTGGAGAAGCTGTACACAGCGGGTGCCAGCTTGCTGGTGGCAGAGCGTGGGGGCCACACGGCACTGCATCTGGCCTGCCGTGTGCGGGCACACGCCTGCGCGTGCGCACTGCTCCAGCCCCGCCCCCGGGACCATACGCCTGACCCCAGCCCCGCCCCCGAGCCCGAGTATCCCGAACCCTCAAGAGAGAAGGAAGAGGAGCAAAGAGAGGAAGACTGGAAATTGCAGCTGGAGACTGAAAACTATGAGGGTGAGTGGACCAGGCAGGGTGGGCATGGGTTCAAGGCCTGGCCCCATGGGCAGACCTCAGGTATGGAAAATTAGGTATATGGAGTCCAGTACACCCCAGACCTGCCATCCCCCAGACCCACAGCTATCAGGATCTAGTTCACCAACCTGCAAAGTGTGGCCCACCTCTAAGCCACAGGCTCAGCCTACTGGGGAGAAATTGGGGGCTTTCAAAGCTAAGGCTTCATAAAACTGGCATCTGGGTACCCAGCCCTGTAGGGCAGCTGGAGGACCTGCCTCAACTAAGACTTGTATAAAAGGTGTTGTCTTAAGAAGTAGAGCTGTGGCCCAAGTGATAGAATGCTAAATCTTGAGCACAAAAGCTCAAGGCTAGCACCCAAGTCCTGAGTTCAAGCCCCAGGGGGGCATAAAAAAAAGTCAACCTCCCTCCTTTAGGGGCTGGGAGGTTGGCTCAGTGGCAGAGTGCTTGCCTTGCATGTCTGAGGCCCTGGGTTCGATTCCTCAGCACCACATAAACAGAAAAGGCTAGAAGTGGCACTGTGGCTCAAGTGGTAGAGCACTAGTCTTGATCTGAAGAGGCTAAAGCACAGCGCCCAGGCCTAGAGTTCAAGTCCCACAACCAACCAAAACAAAACAAAAGGTGCTATCTTAACTGTGATCCCAGCATCTGAGTCTGTAAGCACCCACCTATAAGCCCAGCTTCCCCAGGTCCAGGCCTTCCACAGATACACTGAGATCACCTGCAACCTGGTGTTCAGAGACAACCTTGAAACCCTGGTCACCATCTTTGTGTGAAGTCAGACCAGAGCCTCTGGTCCCCAGATCCAAGGCTGCCATCTAAAAACCCCCAGCTCTTCATCCATAGTCCCTCCAGGCACCCCAACACTCAGCCCCCTCAAACACCTTACCTACAACTTAGCTAGTCAGGACCCAGATGCATTTTGACATATCAGAATTCAGGAGCCAGACCCAAACCTGGTCACCCTCAGGGGCCCTGGGATCATGGTGCTGGGGGCCTGGGCCCCTCACCCTTCCCTCTTGACACCTGTCACTCTGTCCCCAGGCCACACTCCACTCCATGTGGCCATCATCCACAAAGATGCAGAAATGGTCCGACTGCTCTGGCACGCTGGGGCTGATCTCAACAAACCGGTGAGCCACTTGAGGGGGACAGGTATGTATGGGGTGTCCCCTCCCGTGCCTGCTGACCTCTTGGCCGCACCCCACAGGAGCCCACATGCGGCCGGAGCCCCCTACACTTAGCAGTGGAGGCACAAGCTGCTGATGTACTGGAACTTCTCCTGAGGGCAGGGGCCGACCCCGCTGCCCAAATGTATGGGGGCCGCACCCCATTGGGAAGTGCCCTGCTCCGGCCCAATGCCAGCCTCGCCAGCCTGCTCCGTGCTCACGGAGCCCCTGAGCCTGAGGATGAGGATGACAAGCCTGGATCCAGCAGCAGTAGTGACGACAGTGACAGTGACAGCAAAGATGAAGGCGTGAGTCAGGAGGGAAACTGCGGTAACTGACTAGGGGTCTGGCTGAACCAGCAGCCAGAAGGGGAGATGATAGGGACTCCCTTGAGCCTGACCTAGTCTGTCTGCTGTTAATGAACTCAGGTGGAACCCTGTGCCAGTCAGAAGCTCACACCTGTAAACCTAGCTCCTTAGGAGGCTAATATTTGTAGGACTCAGATTTGAGACTAGCCTGGGCAGAAAAGTCTTTGAGGCCAGCCACTGGGGGCTCTCACCTGTAATCCTAGCTAGTCAAGAGGCTGAGATCTGAGGATCGAGGTTTGAAGCCAGCCCAAGCAGACAAGGCCCTATGAGACTCCTATCTCCAATTAACTGCTGAAAAATCAGAAGTGGTGCTGTGGCTCAAGTGGTAGAGCACTA